AGCCGAAGCTTCTCGATAGGAAAACGTATTTGGTTGGTGAGAGTGGATCTCTATCTATAATCAGACGAGATCTCGAAATTAATGGTAATTCCAAACTCAACAGCTCCCCGCTAGGAAGCACCCTAGTGCACTCATTCGTGGTGCGTTTCGGTCAAACCCCTCTACGGTGCACTGCCGTAAGCCCGCGAATAATTTTTTTTAGGATGATTTCATTAAAACATTTATTCCAAACTTTGGTAATGTGGAATCAACCTTGACAAAATGAGGAGAAAATACCTTAGTCAATGTGAAATTAATCCACTGATCCGGGCGTACTTTTTCCTAATTCTAATTTAAGTTTCCGTTCAACTATTCCTCATTATTTAGCTCGGAATGTTTATTTCGCATCATGTGGCATTCCGTCATGTTCATTTTTCCATTTTCTTATTTTCATTGGACTGATTAATTTCATGTTTTCATCATTGCCTCGTATAACATGATGTTTTTCACTGAGAACGTTTCCATTGTTTCTCGCGCTAGACAGGCGCCTTTGTTGCTTTGGGGAATGTTCAAAAAATTTTCGGTGGAAAATTGTGAATCACTGCCAAGCTTTTATAAAGGCGTACCATATGGTGAGGCACAGTTCGAGAAAGATGAGCTGTCTACAAACACACAGAATGAGCCGACTTCATCGTACGAGATTGCCATTCAAAAGCGCTAATGTCCCAACGATTCACAGTACTCAACCTAGCGGACGTGGTCTCATAGTGTAATTGTCGTCATAGGCCGTTGTCTGCGACCAGTCTGATCCATGTTTCGTCGTCTCCGATTGTTTTCCCTCTTCTCGGCGTCTTGTATCTCTCATTTGCTTTCTGATTCTTGAACTCCTTCTCGGCCTAAAAGAATAAGACCCTTTTTTCAGTTTTTTTTGATTTTTTTCTTTTTATCTTCAGTATTGATCCAATTATCAGTTCCATTTTCATTTTCAAGCGGAATAAGCGTATCAGTTTGATTTCCAGCTTTCTTTTGATTATTTTGCAAATGTTCTGTTCTGAAAATCAGCTGCCATATACGTGCGACTGAGGAGTTCAAGAGGCTGGCTTCGGTTTTCAGAGGCCATATTTTTGTGAGAGCGCTTATACATTGTAGAGCGATTTGGAAAGCTATGTCAATACTGCGATGCTATGATGCAGCGCTGTACAGGCGTCGAAGCAGCTTGTGTTTGCCGAGTGTTGCTTGTAGGATATTACCGCCAGATAACGTTTACCAGTAT